AAGGGCCTGGAGAAAAAAAAAAACATATGAAAAGCAATTGCAGGATTTGGGTTTGGCTAGTCCAGAGAAAAGAAGGACTGGTGGGGGGGACGACATAATAGTAGTATTCCAGTATTTGAGAGGCTACCACAAAGAGGAGGGGGTCAATTTAGTTTCCAAAGCATCAGAGGGCAGGACAAGAAACAATGGATGGAAACTAATCAAGGAGAGAAGCAACCTGGGATGAAGGAGAAACTTCCTAACAGGAGAATACTATTAACCAGTGGAACAGTTGCTTTCAGAAGTTGTGGATGCTTCATCACTGGAAGTTTTTAAGAAGAGGCTAGACAGTCAGTTGTCTGAAAGTGGGTCTCGTGCTTGAGCAGAGGGCTGGATTACAAGACCCTCAAGGTCTCTTCCAGCTCTATTCTAATTGAGTATTGATCAGAATAGAACAAAGAGTTGCTTTGCAAAGTGAGATGTGTGGCATATACATTTAATAAATAAACAAATAAAACAGACCTCCAAGTTCTTTGGATGCTTTTTCCTACAAACTACCAGTTTTCATATTGGGCTGAAATTGGGGTTTCTCAAATATCTTAAGAATTCTAAGCTTATTTAGATAGCTACTTGAGCCATCTCAATGCACTGCATAAAACATGGAAATAGTAGATCTCTGTGCCCTATAAAGTGCTTTCTGTTAGAATTGTAACATAGCGATTTTTCATTGAGATAAATGGTTGTACCTGTGAGACCATCTGTACATAGAAACCTAATGTTATTGTGTCTACTTTACTCTTTATAACTCTCCTTATAAACAAACTTGTGCATTTCAGACACAACTCCTGGCAGAGTACACTATGCAAATGATGCACATGGCAGGGGCCGGGTCTGGTTGTCTCACAAATATCCATACTTTTTCAAAAGACTATGTCTTATAAAATGTATTGTCCCATGAGAATTAAAGTTCTATCTCTTCCTTTGTCAATGTTTATCATTGTTACTCCTATACAAAAGAAGAAATGTTAAAATACATTAAAAACTGCAAACTCATACACTTATCAAACTGTATGATTCAGTGGATTTACTATGGAACAGATATTTATAAGACTGCATATTTAATTAAGGTCGAGTCTTGATAAATACATAAACGTCTAGTCAGTCACAGACATTTTCTGCTGCACTTTTAATGGACACAGGTTAAATTATATCCAGCTGTATTTGGACAATGACTGACATAAAGAAATAATCTAAATCTACTGCCTGAAAATCTTCCAGACCTAATAGCATGATGTTTTCTTAAAAAAAACAAAACCAACCCATAAGTATTGTATAGAAGATAATGCCATGGCTATTATTTCAAACATAATACAAACTGTTCCCTCTTTATGATCAACTTAAAATTAAGCACTGTATAATTCTATACCTTGATAACAAAGCATCCTGGCAATGACCCAGACATTTTCTTATCCCAATTCAATTTTCTACAGATTTTAACTTTCCACATGTTTCTCTTTACTATCCCAAAACATTTTAGTGGCAATTGTTCACTATATATGTCAATCCCTTCCTACGATTCAGGTGGTTTAATTAATAGGGGTGTTCAATTCTATAAATTTTATGATTATTTTCAAGATTTTTTTAAAAGTCTAAGCAGAATCTTAGTTTTCATACAACTTATCTATCAAAATAGTATCAAATAGTATCAAATGAGGAAATGCTGTTCTGAATAAAAGAAATCTAGATTTTGTCATATAGAACTGTTAGAAGTTCCTCTTTATTTCACAACGACATTTTGGACACTTTCCTATATGTGCTTACTTAGAATGTTCAGTTAGTATGAGGAGTCTTGCTTATGTTGCAATAATATCCATACTTTCCTGAGAGCAAGTCCTAATGATATATGCACATTTTCTAAATAAAATAAAGTTTAGTATGCTGCCTTAGTCTGAGTAATTGATTCTCATTTCCCACAAATTGTAAATACAGCAAAAATAATCCTATAAGACAATATAAATCCTATATAAAAGCAAAGGCACCTTTAAGAAAATATGCTTAAGGGTAGATGGCAGAATGCTAAAAGAACATTTTCCAGCAATAAACTTGTAAAGGAAACATCAACATGACCTTTAATGCAAAGTCATTGCCTTAACAGAAGTTAATTAAAAAAAAATTATCCCATCAAGCTGTAAGAACTTAGTTGCGGAATTCAGAATTCAAACTGGCCTTCAATGTGTTACTTGTGACCATAGGAATTGAATCAGAAGAACCAAGAATTTCACAAGTCAATAAACCCTCCCCCACAATAAGCAGAACTGAAATAGTTTGGTAAATTCATACTTATAGCTCTATACAGATTTGCATACAAAGCCTCACAGTCATATCAAACCTTTTGCAGAGGACATATATTATATGCATACGTCTATTATACCTACAGATTTGCAACGGCACCCACAGAAATTGTTGTGGCCTGATCCACATATATTACTAAGCTTTAAAAGTTTCATCTGGTAAATATAGTATGTCAGACTACTCTAGCTTGTTCAATGAAACATGATTAAATTCTAGGTTAGTTATATGAAAATGAAAATGAAATCTGACAGAAGCATACTAGTTTAACAAACTTGTAGGGATTCCCTCAGAATTGGGGTTGTACACTGAGGCATTTCTAAGCTCCTTCCAAGCATGGGAAACACACTCTTGAGTTGATGCAAGGCTTCTGTGGATACCCTCTTCCTGTTCCGATTAAAGTCCAGAAAAGTTAACAGTTTCAAAAAAGAAGAAGTCAGAGCATCTGGATGGTATCTCACTCCAAACTACAGTTCCAACACCATAACCAATACAGCCCCTTTCATCTTTTTCTCAAATTACAATATCTATACTTGTTTTCACCACTTCGTGGACAGCTCCTCCGCCAGGCCTAATAAACGTCCCCCCCTCTTGGCTGCGAGTTGGTGACTCAGAAGCTCTGCTGCCTCGTCCTTCTGACAGCCGGGCAGCCGAGGTTGCAAGAGCTCTCTGGCCACCCGCGCCGCAACTTCCTTCACGCCCGGTGCTTTTCGAAGAAGCATCATTACCTTCCAGCCCTGCCTCACCTCCGCCCGATCACTCACGCCGGTCGGGCTGGCCCTCGGGATCTTCCACCGCCGCCTTGCCTCTGAAGACCACCGGGTCCCCTGCCCACCTTCCCAACCTACCTACCTACCAGCCGGTCAGAGCACAGCTCCGCTGGCCACCCCTTCCTCCGAAGAGGCCATGCATTGCATAAGGACCACGATGGCCAGACAGGAGAAGGGCACGCTGGGCCAGGAAGGACCAGCCCTGGCTCAATCCGGAGCATACCCGGGGTTCCTTTCCCGGCCATCCCCAAACCTTTCCCCAACAGAGACCAGGTTCTCACCCTCGCGCGCCTTGAGCAGCACCGTGTTGGCCACGATATTCTCCAGCTCCATTGGGTCCAGCCCGAGGCGCCGCCGCCGCCGCCGCTGTCACCTCTTCCCACCCAACCGCTCTCATCCACCCCCCACCTCCGACCGCTTGGTCCGGCACCCAGCTACTGTACCTCCATTCTTAGCCCGCCTACTGCCTGCTCAGCCCGACCAATCCCCGCGCCAACATAGCCCGCATCGGTCCCTAAATGGCCCGAGGAACTCCCCCGCCTCCACTCTGCCCTTCTTTCTCATTGGTCGCCGAAAAAGGGGGGGGAGCCACATACAAGGCATGGGCCGCAGGGTGATTGGCTGAAACAGTTTCACGAGGCGGAGAAAGCTCTTAAAATAAGGGAGCTGTCGGTCGGGTCATCATGGCAAAGACTTTGGTTGAAAGGGTTGGGCTTACTTCTCTCAAAAATGCAATTGCTCGCGAAGGAGGCTAATCAGAGAGTAACAGGTAGCTTCAGAGGTCATGAAACAATAATATCACATATAGTTCGCCTATAGACGAAGTGGAATGTCGAGTGGGTTTCAAGGCTTTTCGCTACTTGTGTAGCTTAAAAGTATCTCTATTGATTAGGACAGAAGGAGAAGCCTGATCTCAGAGACAGATGTAAATATCTTACAAATGAAAGCCGCAATCGAATTTTTGGAGAATTGCTTTAGATAGAATTGGAATGCGTGCAGACTTGCAAGTCTAATCCTTGAAGAACAACAGCAACAGAACACTAAGTCTTGAACATTATGCTATTCAGCATTGTAACTGCTGAGCAAATTAGTAAACTTCTGCCTTTGATCCATTTTTTTGGATGCAAATGGTGTTTTAAGTGCAGACTCACTCTTCTTCAATTACTTTGTAGCCTTTTTTCTAAATGATTGTTCTAATGGTGTTAAAGTGAAAACTAATGGTGAATGTTTAGTGTAATTATTGCATTGATACAGTACTATATTAAATACACCAGAATATAGCAGTTTCTCCCTTTTTATGTGTATGTCTCCAAGTCAGTTTTGATTCCTGGCAACTGCCTATACAGGGAGGGAGGGAGAAGAATACACAGTATTTATAATGGGCAATTCTTGCATGTATGAGGATAATTTGAAGGGAATGTATCTTTGTGTATGTGTGTATGCATATATTATCTGTCCAAATCAATCCACTTGTAGATGAAGCTGTCTTCATTAAAATTTATGGATTGTAATCTAACATGCTAGTCCAGTGCAGGTAGATAGGTGTGTGTATATACCGCATTTTTGGAGTATAAGACGCACCCTTTTTCCTATAAAAAAGGCTAAAAATCTGGGTGTGTCTTATACATAGAATAAAGCATTTTTTGCCTCCTGAAGCCCTGCCCCTTCACCAAAATGGCCGTGCATAGCCCTATGGAGAGCTCCTGGGGGCTGGGGAGGGCAGAGATGAGCAAAAAATTGACTAGTTTTTGCTCAATTCTGCCCCCCCCCCAGCCCCCAGGAGCACTCTATAAGCCTCCATAAGGCCATGCATGCAATTTTTTGGGAAAAAAAAATGGGCCCATTTT